CTCAGAGCCAGGCTTTCCCCCTTATGCCGACCCACTCACCTGAACCCTTTAATTTACTGAAATGTCACGGTCACATTTCACTTACCGGATGTATGTCTATATCTCCCCAGTTCTCTTCACTCTATAGTGGGTGCAATCCAATAAGAAAATACAGTGTTTTATCAAAATAGCTCTTTGTAATTTACCAAATGCTTTTGTACACGTTACCTAACTCGATTCTCATGATAAATAAACTTAACTAGAAAATATGCTTTGAACTGATTTTCTCAAGTGAAATGTTTCTAATTCTATCAAACACAAGAACCCCTTTCAAAGTATGTTTACTTCTGATTATAAACATTAGTGATTCTGTATATTGCTTTTTACTTCAAATTTCTTAGGATAATAACGTAAAAGAATACTGAATTAGGTTTTTGAAGATGAATGTCTTCCATGGTTGATGATAATAATAAAATAATAATTTTAATAAAGGGAAAATATCTATTATGTCTTACCTTATTCCCTTCCTAACCATATTTCATATATATGCTAAGTATTTTATATTACTACCAAATTAGCTCTCATAACTATATGATGAGGTTTCATAGATGAAGACATTGAAGATTAAAGCGTTTTTAGTAATACAAGGTGTGTTAGTCTGGATTGACTAAAGAAACAAATCCAGAGACTCTCATATGTGTATAAGAGAGAGCTTTATATCAAATAATATATTATGAAAACATCCCAACCCAGTTCAGATCAAGTCAATAAGACTGACATTAGCTCATATGTCCACTACCAGTCTACAAATTGCTCTTCAGACTCATGCAACACATCCAATGCTGGAAGATCACAGGCCTATGGGTGGAAAGTCTAGTGGTACCAAGGGTGGTGGATGCATCTCCAGGGAACTGGCTGCCATCACTGTGGCTCCATGCAGCTTGTCCACAGGAAGAGAAAGGGGTAGAGAGAGTGAGAGAGAGAGGCAGAGGTCTGCCTGTACTGGTGGTAGAATTGAGAGGAAGTTGCCAGAATCTTCATGAGAAGGCCACAACCACACAGAGGCATCAGACCGCGACCTGATTGACAGGCTAGACTCTACCCCTTCACTCTGACTATTCTCAAGTTGGCACAAGATTATGTAACTACCACAGATGTCATAATGGATACTCACCAGATGAAATGCACAGGATTCAAATTGACTACACCTGCTGGAAGAGGCAATGGAGAAACAATATCATCAGCCAAAACAAGGTCAAGGGCCAACTATGGAACAAACCATCAAAATCAAGTTGAAGCTAAAGAAAATTAAAACAAGTCTGTGAAAGCCAAAATATAATCTTGACTATATTGCACCTGACTTTAGAGAGCATCTCAAGAACAGATATGGCTAATTAAGCACTAATGACTGAATGCCAGATAAGTGGTGGGATGGCATAGAGAATGTCAGACATGAGAAAGTAAAGTGTCATTAAAAAGATAGGACATTAAGGAAAGACTAGAGAGTGGATGTCAGAAGAGATTCTGAAACTTGATCATAAACTTAGAGTCATTAAAGTGATTGTAAGAAGTGGTGAAATAAAGATGTGAACAGAAAATTATGAAAGGAAATAGTAAAGCATTATGATGGAGTGTGCAATGGCCTAAATATAGAGGACCAAAGGAGAAGAACATGCTTAGCATACCTTAATCTCAAAAACTGATGACAAAAACATGCTCAAGCCTGGCATGGATGTACTGCGAGATTTTACAGGCAAAATACTGAATGATGTAGGATGGGCCAAAAGAAGATATAAGAACACATGACAAAATAATAATCATTTATAAATTATCAAGGGTTCATGGCGGGGGTGGGAAGGAGGGAAAAAATGAGGAGCTGATACCAAGGGCTCAAGAAGAAATGATGAGGGCAACAAATGTACAAATGTGCTTGACACGATGGATGTATGGATGGATTATGATAAGAGTTGTACGAGCCCCCAATAAAGTGATTTTAAAAAAATACAGTCACTGAACCAAAATGAATTAGTTGACATTAAGGTATTTCAAGAAGTGACATTCTCAATAACTGATGGTATTAAAGGAAGAAGTCCAAGTTGCAATGAAACAATCAGGTAAAATAAGGCTCCATGAATTGACAACATCCTAATCAAAATGTTTCAACTGATGATGCACAGCTGGAAGCACTCATTAGCCTATACCAAGAAATTAGCGAGACCGTTACCTGGAAAACCTACTGATGGAGGTTCATATTCCAAAGAAAAGGGAGCCATCAGAATGAAGAATTACCAAAAAAAAAAAAATCATCAACATCACATACAAGTCCAATTTTGTTGAAGATAAAACATGATTGCAGCAGATCATCGACAAGGAATGAGGGAGACAACTACCAATCTCAGATGGATGGATTTTAGCTGAAAGCAGAAAATTTCAGAAATATATTTATCTTTCTTCAAGTTTGTATAAATTCTTTGACTATGCTAAGGCATTAGACTGTGTAGATCATAATAACATTTCTAATAATGATATTATTTCCATAACATTTCATTGTGCTTCTGTGGAATATGTACATAGAGCCTGAGACAACCTTCCAAACAGAATTAAATGACATTTAATATTTAAAAACCAGAAAAGGTGTGGATCTGGGTTGTATCTTTCACCATGTGTATTTAAATCTGTATGTTGGTGAACGGACTCTTAGAAGAAAAGTCCAACACCGTCTTCACTGAAGGAAGATTTGTTAAGGACTCTGCAGCTACTTCAGCCTTGTGTGCTGAAAGCAAGGAGGATCTGAAGCACTTGCTAATGAAGGGCAAGACAGTAGCCTTCAGGACACATTACAACAGACTCGAGAGAAACCCAGAGCCTCACAACCAGCCCTCTCCATGAGAAATGGAGAAAAGTTGAGTTGCTAAGGGTTTCATCTTATTTGAATGCACAATGAATACTCATGGGAGCAGCGGTTGAGAAATAAAACGATGTGTTGTATTAGGCCAGTCTGCCACACAGAACCTCTTTACAGTGCTCAAGAGCAACACCGTCGCTTTAAGGACTAGGGTGTTCCTGGCCCAAACCATGGTGCTTTCCATTAGTTCTCCCACATGTGAAAGATGAGCAGTGAATTGGGAAGACCTGCGATAATTGATGCATTTGAGTTCAGTCAGAGAAGGCTTGTATGCTGCTGAACAGCCTTTGACTGAGCTTACGAATGCAAACAGACTCGGTACAAGGGCTGGTGATTTACTTCTGAAAATCAGTCAATGAAAACCTGGTGAGCATTTTGTTTAATTTTTCATGATATTGCAGATAGATTCAGGAAGTAGGCAACAGCAAAAGTGCCTATCAGACTCTAACAGTTGTCAGGAGTTGATGACCTATACACATTTGATAGAAATCTTCCATTACTGATTTGGTTTTCAATATTTTCTGTATTTTTGTTTGTTTGTTCATATAAGGGTTTATCTCAGAAGTGTTATGTCATTGGGGGTCATCCTCTTGAAGTTGTGTTATGTGCTTTTTTGGTTTTGGGTATATGAAACCTAGGATTGTTGAACCAATAGGGACAGCAAGTAGATTCAGGATTTCGGGGGTGGGGGTGGGTGGGTACAATGGTGATATGGGGTGGGTTAAAAGGAGGCAATGTCAAGGAGTCCAGGAAGAAAAAGAATGTGTGGAACTGGATTGTGGTAGCAAATGTACAATACTGCTTGATGTGACTGAACTATGTAATGATATGACTGTGTATTAAATCCTGATTAATAATAAATTAAAAAATAATTTAATTAAGATATTATGATATTGCACCTTTCAGATGTGTCCTATCTAAGATATCTCATTGAGTTAATCCTGTGTCTTCTTGAAATACCTTTGCCGCCTTTCAAAGTTTAGAAATTGATCGTGAGGCTGTATTGGAACACATTCAACTGTTTCTTTCACTCCTCCTCCTAATTGAGTCGTGGTCCTTGACACAGTTTCCTTCCCACTCCAGCACACATGTTGAGAATGAACTCTGTCTGGTCATATAGTGTAGATAATGGTTGAGAACAGACATGTTTTCTTTTAAGCTCTGATACTTTTTCTGATTCTTGCTAAAGACTTGTCCTTGACATCCTAAAGCCTGCTTCCTAGGAAATAAAATGAGGCTTTCATTTCATTTATTTATTTTTGATATTAGAAAGCTATTTTATTAGTCTGACAAGGGGAAGTACAGCTGAATACTTATGTCAAAACAATGTGTACATTCTCTGTAAGAGGTATAGGCAAACCAACTCATTTTAGAGTAGTTCTAGACTTACTTACAGAAAACGTGCAAAGATAGTGTATGAAGGTTCTAAAAAGAAATCAACTGACATGGTACATGTCTGAGCTGACTTCATTTTAACTTTTGCTTATTTCCTCTGCAACTGCCAGTCCCCTAGACTCGGGGTGGAAAACCTTTATTCTGCCAAGAGCCATTTGGATTTTATACCATCATTCTTGAGTCATACTGTTAAGACATTTGATTACTCACCCCTGATATGATTGCTGGAACGACTTCTCCTTGGTGAAGTGTATGATGTTAACTGATATTGATGATCTAGCAGGCCTTACAGGGCTTTCGGGCCACATATTCCCCACCACGGCCGGATTTCCCCTGCAAATGTCTGACCCTTAAACGGATACATGTCCAGAGCAACCAAACATTGTTTTCCCTCTGTGGTTAAAGATATGGAAATAATGTTCTTACAGGTGATTTTTAAGGGTGATTTTTGACACAAGATCCTTATCAGAAATCCCCTCAAAAGGCTCCAAGAAATGTTTTAAAATAATGATCTTGTAGAAATCCTGTAAAACCCCTCCATCACTTCTTTAAACTAATAAACACAAACAGCACACGTTTGTACTTCTGACCAATCACAGGAAAGTCTCCATTTCGAGTTGTCCTGCCTACTATTTCCCTGATTTTGTAATTTCCAGTCAGACTGATTCTCTGCTAGGTTTGATAATTCATTGTAACGGTTACACAGAATTCACAGACAAAATTCATAATTATGGAGTTTATTAGAGAAATTAACAGGCTACAACTCAGCATCAGAAATGTGAAGGACACAGATTCTGTAAGCCAGCCTGTTGCCTGAAGGCATTCAGTTGGACTCATGCTGTGAGCCCACTGTTAGAACCTGAACTCTCACTGCCACTGCCACTGCCATCACAGTTTCTCTCTGCAGGGATCCCTGGGCACAAAAGAGGCATTCCTCCTGGCTCTTCTTTCTTGATAGTCATGAGATTTCTTCTTCTTGTTTCTCGGATTGCTCATTTTATACCTAGTGGGATGGGAAAACTGTCCAAGGCCCTTAGGTACCATGTTTGTATGGTCCACCCAGTCAGTTGGTGGGAGTTGAAAGACTATGGTTAGAAGAACCATATGATTAATGCAGTCGACCATGCACACAGAGTTAAAATCAAATGTGAATACATGGTTGACTTAAAAGATATATTAGTGAATACATGGTTGACTTAAAAGATATATTAAAATCACATATTTTTTATGATTCATATATGGGATATCACTGAATTAATTGTTGCTCCATTAAAGAAGAAAATATTTTAAGAAACCACTGAACAAACAGATAAAGTATAGATAACAAGAAAGATTGATTTAGATTCATTTTTTTGTGTGTCTATACCTTATCTTAGGCAGAAAAAATGTCTTGTTCAAGTGCTAGAAAGATTTGGATCTTAAAAACAAACAAACAACAACTCCCCCCCAAGTTCTTAATGAATCATTGCATATATTTATAGTGATGGTCAAATGATACTGTTTCCTAGTGGATACCACTTTTCTTCATCAAGAGGGATGCTGCCGAGCTGGAGGTTGATTGCTCCTACAAATGTGGTTTTGCTTTTAACAATAAGCATTAAGACATGACCTTGAAGCTCTGAGACTTCATTGTATACCACCTGAAAATGGAAAGGAAAAGGAAATATAAATACCATGTATAGAAATGGATCTTTATTTTGAATATTGTTTTGAGAAAAAACCTGCTAGAGTATGAGTATTGTATCCTGGAATGGATAGATTCATGTTAGAATATTTCATTTCTAACTCTAATTGTGAAAAGCTAAAGTGTATCCTAACATAATGGAAGTTTAATTCATATGTTCAACATGACAAAAAAAAATTACTCCAAGTAGCTAAGAACCTATTAGAATGGCCCACCTCAAATTTATAAGATTGCAAATTATTCATTAGCAAGGAATTTAAAATACCCTTAACCTTTAACTGTCCTTGAATTTATTTGGCCACATTGGAGTTTGACATCATCCTTCTGTGTTTAAGGCTAAGGAGGAAAGACAAACCGATTTGCATGGTTTCCTTGTGCTTTTAAACATATGCAAAAGTATTTCTCTCTTCATGTAAAGAAGTCATTCTATAGTTTCTTTTGTTTATTTATAATTGCTTAATTTTTAGGTATGAACATATGTGAACACTATATAAATTATTAATAAAACAAAAATTAACAAAAGAAAGAAATCCATATTTCCACCACTGGATGATAATTACAGTTGATATCTTCTTGTTTTTTAAATGAAAGTTTCTCTGTATAACTAATTTTAAAGAATCTGAGCTGGAATCATAGTACTGTATACATACAAATTTGAATGCAAGCGCTTAATAAAATAGTTCTTGCGCTGTTCATTTTCTTTTATCCAGAAGCAAACCACCGGCTATCCCTATGTAGCTATAGTGGCACGGAAATTTTAAATGTGCGGTCCTTCATTAGTAGGAAACAGCTGTGCGTGTAAGTCCAACATGATATTAGGAAAGGTCTTAAGAGCACATTTAGAAAACGAATTTTATATGCTGCTATAAACTTGCTTGCTTTTTATGGCCAAAGGACAAGGTGTTGTTGGCTTTTTAATTGCTCTTTGGTTTTATTTTGTATGATTTTCTGGATATGAAATCCAGGATAGGTAAATTTATGGACAGTAACTGGATTAGTAGTTTGCTAGGGGCATGGCAGAGGTGGATTCGGGGAAATGGGGAACTAACCACAATGAACACAAGAAAGAAGAACACGTTCTCACATTGATTGTGGTGATGATTGCACAGCACTTTAGTATAGTAACTCTTGAATTGTGTAATATGTGAATTTCATGTCAAGAGAACTGTTTAAAAAAATCCAAAAAGCAGCAGGGGAAGAGCTTGTACTGGCAGAGCCTGAGTCACTGGGGAGGCTCCCTCCTGCTCCTCCGGGGCTGTGTGTGGGGCGACCAACTTCAAGGGTCAGTCCTTCGTCACCACCAGTCACTACAAAATGAGGCTGTCTGCTCCTGTAGAAATTATGATCTTGAAAACCCTACGGAGTCACTGGCATCCAGAACTGATTTGACGCCAGAATTGACATTTTGGTAGTGGGTTTACTTTAACTTTATCACTATCTTAAAGAGCACTGGGAGTGCAGTGTTGGTCTGTTAACCAAAAGATTCAAAACTCCCAGATGCTTTATGGGCACAGTATGAGGCAGGCTGCTTCTGTAAAGATTTATGGCCCCGCAAACACTGTGGGGGCACTTCTTCTCTGTCTCATAGGGTCACTAGGGTTTGCAATCGACTGTAGGGCAGGGGGTTTCTTCAATGTCCTTTCTGTTGCATTGTACTTGATGTAGTTTCTGGTCTTTTACACAACAAAGGCCTCTTGTGTGTCTTGTGTGTGTGTGTGTGTGTGTGTGTATCCATTAAATTATCAATGAAACGCAGTTCAAATGAATCTGTTAGTTGCTTTGAACAGTGATTTTAAATCAATTCAATCAAAGGACGCTAGATACAAATATAATGTATGATTCCAGTCTATCCAACCCTTGACTGACCCTTAATAGAATTTCACTTGCATTCCAGACTGGGGGTTATCTTTTATTTTTATAGTACTGGTTGTTTAATGACTCCTTGTCTTCTATTAAGTTCTCCTGGGACAATAAGGAATTTCAAGGGCTGCCTTAAAAATTTCAAAATCTTACCACTGTAATTCATGTCACTGTACCACAACGTGATCCTAATCCTGCCTGCAACTCCTTCCAGGGCTTCAGAGTCCGTTCTCTGTCCTTGTCCCTACAGTGGTTAGTTTAAAATCTGAACTATGCTCTGTTTTCCTTCCAACCACACTTCCCCCACAGATAAACTCATGTATTTTAGAGAGAAAATAGATAAATGAACCATCAAACTGCTACTGTATGTGAAGCAGAAAGTGGGATAACTCTAAGCATTAGGCCCTTTGAAAAGTCAGGCTTAATAAATCTAAATAAGCCCTAAAGATTTAAATTTGTGAGAACCATCTGAATAAGCCCCAAACATTTAAATTTGTAAGAAAAATATCAATAATTTATATTTTTACTAATCTCTTGTCATGATGAATGTTTTCTTATTTGCATAATGGTGATAATAATACTTACCTTTGAGCATTGTAGGGAAAAATAAGTGACATAATGAATATAAACCTTTCTACAAAGCCTGGAACATATTAAACACTAATAAATTATAGCTTAAGAAAAATCCATCAAATACACAAGATGGAACATTTGTTTTCTTGGTATTTTGTATCAGTTGGATGGAGAAAACACTTCCAGACAGAATGAATCCTCTAGGTATTTAGCATGCTGAATGGCTCAGGAAATGATTTTAGGAATTAATTGCCTTTCTAGTTAAAATGCAAAATATGAACTTCCAAAGTTTGCATCACTCCATTTATATGTTTTTTTTGTGCCTTATTATGCAAAAGTTATTTCCCTGAAAGTATCTGAGAATGTAAAATTCTTCAGTTGCCTATCATAGGTGCAATCATTGCATATCCTAGAAAATAGTGATATATTTTAATTACTTCATTACACCTCTGACATATTTTAAAATGTATTATTTTCCTAGTGTGCAATGAACAGCGGATAATATAAGCCAAGTGTATGAAATGTTATATTATTCCAGAAACTTTTGATTTGATATGTATTCTTTTGAAGGATTGATTTGTGTTCCTATATAATGAAAATATGTGTTATAAATCCTAATGCCTAGGCTCCTGACCATAATCCCATTTGGAAATGGGTTGTCTTTGTTTGGTTATAGAGACAGGATAGTGTAGGGTACACATCAGGAACCAATCCCTTCTGATATAAAAGAATTGTAAAGAGTTAAACAAACAGAAGAAGGAGCAGGGGTGGGAGGGAACAATGATGGAAGCCGCATGGAGGTTATCCAGGGGGTAAGGGTAAAAGAGACCAGACCATTCTCCAGAGTCAACAGAGACTGAACACCTTTCCCAAGGGCCCACACCTTGAACGCAGACTTCTGGCTCCTTAAGCACAAAAAATGAAGGTCTGTTTGTTAAAGCTGATAACTGGTGGTACATCTCTCATAGCAGAACTAGATAACTAAGACAATTCTGCTTTCACACAGCAGAATGAAAAATGAACAACTCATTTAATTTCACTTTAGCATGTTTCCTTATGCATAGGCATAAGCCAACTCTTCATTCTGACAAGTATTAAATTGATGAGTTTGAAATCATTACACCAAATAGAAAAACATTAAAGTAATGAATATCCATCAAACGCATAGACTAGTTACTCACTGTATATGATTTGATCCATCAAACACCTAGACTAGTTACTCACTTTGTATGATTTGAAACAAGGGTCAAATAAATATGTTTAAAGTGCATTTAAATGATTGCAATGGGAGGATAATAATATGGAAGTTGAAATGTATCTAGTGTTTGTGGAAAGAGCTTTGTGGAAGCAGGTCCATGCAAAGAGAGAAGAGGAAAACCCTGTGAATGGCTATCCATACGGAAAATTTACAGCATCATTTAGGATAATAAGCGTAGGTTTTGGAATTCGTGTTTTGGAATAAGCAGCTGTAACTTCATAACCCTAGGCAAAAGGCTTCGACTCTGAGTCTTAATTTCTTCATTTACAAATAAAGTGTTATCATTATGAGTATTCAAGAAGATGATAAATACAAAATAGCAATGCTTATTGAATGCACTTTGTTACTGCCATTGTGCTAGGTAATAGCAATTATTATCTGCATAGCTTGCAAGATATTTTACGATATTGAAAACACAATTACTGCTGTCAGCTGACACTGAGTGGCCCTTGACTACTCAATGCTAAACCATGCACAATGGGGTTAAACTAAACGAGTTTTTGGAAATAGATCTCCAGTGCTTTCCTCAGAGTTGGTGTTAGTCTAGAAACCTTGCTGAAACCTTTCTAGCTTGACAGTAACATGCAAGCCTTCACTGACAAGTGGGGATTGCACTTGAGGTTGCTTGGCTGGGGACCAAACTCAGGTATCCCACATGGTTGTTAAGAATTCTACTATTGACATATATAACATCCTTTTCTACTGAAGGTACTATAATGGAATGAGCAATGAGTTGGAGTAAAATCCCCATTCTGCTTCTTTTAAAAGCTGAAAGGCGGTGGCAGGTACATTCCTAGCCCTAATTTTAGCCCCTTGTTGAGCCTCGTCATTTCTCCCACTGGAATATATATAACAAAGGTTGTCAAGAAAGCGGCTGGTCACCCTTGTTCGTTCTCCCTCTGGGAAGGGTTGACTAGACAAGCTTGGTTGCACCTCAAAACCTTAGTATCTGAAGGGTGGAAACCCTATCACTTGCAAGTGCTCCCTAATGAGCTCCTTTCAGATCTGGGAATTTGAGAGAGGTCTGTGAATTAAGAAAGAAAGAAACATTTTCATTAAAAGCTTCATAAATCATTGGTGATATGGTCTGGTACCATCTTTATATTCCTCTAAGAAATCTATATAAGGAGCGGAGGGAGGTCATTCTCTCCCACTTCACCAAACACTGCATGCCTTTGCTAGTTTGAGAGAGCCCAGCTGTGGTCAGTTGCTGAAGTAGCAGTTCTAAGTATTTCCAGATACCGGGGAGAACTTAAACGCATGGCAAATACCATGCGATCACTTACTAGGGCTTCTTATAAGCACAGAGGTTCTGCTTAGGATGCACAGAAATGATTTAATTAAAGCACTTGGCAGACAACTTAGGTCTTCATGGCAACTGAGGGCAAGAGGAAGTAAAGTCAGACTTGAAACTGGCTCACCTTCTTTTTCCCTTCTAAATATCCTTGATGGATTAATACAGACAGCATGACAGCAGAAAATTAAAATCGTGTCTTTCCCTTTTCCTACGTCTTTGAAAATTCAAGAAGACTTCCTAGCAAAATTATTTATGGAATGACCTCCTATTTTATCGATCACTATGGTATTAGAAGAACCACTTATATGAACATTTCCGCTGGTTTAGATTTTGTATAAATTGAGGTTTGCTACTCATGTGCACATGACTTTCAAAATTCTTTAAATATAAACGAAAGGAGCCCTGGTGGGGTAGTGGTTATGCATTGGGCTGCTAACCACTAGGTCAGTGGTTTGAAACCACAGGCACTCTTCAGGAGAAAGACAGGCTTTCTCTTTCTGTCATGAGTTACCTTCTCAGCAACCCACAGGGGCAGTTGTCCCCTTTCAGATAGGGCCACTATCAGTCGGCTTTGACTCAAGGACAGTGAGTTTGAAGTGTAGATAAAGTCAGTTTCTGTTACAAGTATAGATTGATGGAGAAGCACTTCTAATCAATCAGACAGAGACATGTGGGAGCCCTGGTGGTGAACTGATTGTGCATTGGGTTGCAATCCACACGGTTGGGAGTTTGAAACCGCCGGCAGCTCTATGGGAGAAAAGCGGGGCTTTCTACTCCCGTTTCCAGTCTTGGAAACCCACAGCGGGGTCACAATGAGTTGGCACTGATTCGATGACCATGAGTTTGGGTCTTGAATTTTGGATTGGTAAACTCATGTGCTGTTTTTAGGTGAAGGTGAATTGGTTTCAACTCAGGTCAATCCTATGTGTGATACAAGGAAACACTGCCTGGTCCTATGGGACCTTCACAATTGTTTCTGTCCTTGAGCTCATTGTTTTGACCACTGTGTCGATGCGTCTCTTACTGGTATTTCTCTGCTTCACTGACCCAGTTCTTTAGCAAGCATCCTCTCCTCTTCCAGAGATATGTCCAAAGTATGTGAGAAGTCTTGCCATTCTTGCTATCAAGGAACATTCTAGCTGCACTTCTTCCAAAAATATTTGTAAATTCTTCTTGCAGTCCCTGGTCTATGAAATATTCTTCATCGACACCATAATTCAAATGTATCCATTATTCTTCAGTGTTCCCTAGTCATTGTTTAGCGGTAACATGAATATGAGGTTATTGAAAATATTATGGCTTGGGTAGGTGCACCTTCATTTCCAAGATGACACCTTTGCTTTTTAGCACTTTGTACTTTTTTGCTGTTTTGGTTTTTGGTAGCAGATGTTCTCAATACTCATATTTGTTTGATTTCATTACTCATTGATTTACTCATTACTCATTTGATTTCATTACTCATTAGTCATTACTCAATACTCATTGTTTGATTTCTTGACTGCCGCTTCTATGGGCATTGATTACTAAATTCTTGACAACTTTAAAATGTTCTTCGTGTATCATGATCCTACGTGTTGTGAGGACTTTCATTTGCTTTATGTTATATAATCCATACTGAAGGTTGTAATCTTTGATCTTTACCAACAAGTGCTTCGAGCCTTCTTCACTTTCAGCAAGCAAGGTTGTGTAATGTGTATTTCACAGATCAATGGTTTCCTCCAATCTTGATACTACATTTCTCTTCATATAGTTCACCAAGTACTATCAAGTAATATTTGGGCATGTGTAATTACGATTATTATTTTAATTCACGAGGGGGCTGGTGGAAAAATATAATTAAAAGATAATGAAACATTTCCATGTATTTTTTATGCTTGAAAGAAGTAGAAAGCTAATGAAAAATTCTCATTAACATTTTTGGCTTTTTGCCTTTATATGTTACTTTAAATTTCAAGTAATTAGATATAGAGTATGAGAATTTTCTTGATACTAAGGGTAAAAGAAGTATAAAACAGGAATAGGTGTTCAACAAATCAGGACTATTGGAAGGTGTGTATCGTTAGCGGTTGACGTCACAATAAGGTGTCTTCCTTTATTGAGTCTCTCTTTTGCTCACATGTCTCCACATAATCTCTGTAATCTCTCCCACGCTCTCTCTATCATCTAAAGTCCACTAAACCAAACTCACTGTCATCGAGTTGATTCTGACGCATAGTGACCCTATAGGACAGTATAAACACTAACTGCCCTTGTGTGTTTCTGAGACTATAACTCTTTTAAAGTGCAGAAAGCATCATTTTTCCCCTATAGCGGATCTGAACAGCTGACTTGAGATTAGCACACTAATGCTTAATCACTACACTACTCGGGTTCCTATGTATCTTCTAAATATATTTAAATGCTTTTCAAAAGGGAATAATGATTTCATTAACTACATTATAATGAAATATATCTCAGAACCCTTTTTGAATCATGTTGTGTGGGTCTCAAAGTCCCCCGGAGGAGTTGCCTGAACAATAGAGTGACATAAATGCCACTCTGGAGTTCCTGCCCTCAGCTCCTCTCTTCGTCGAGATGTGGGTAACATCCACAGAAGTATCATTAAAATTTAAATCCTGAGATGAAAAACTGTAGAGGCAAATCTGACGCTAAAGTGCTCCAAACCAATCTCACTGCTGTCAAGCCAATTAGGAGAGTTATTTAGAACTCGTCAGTCATCAAGTAGAAATGCAGATCAGGCACTTGGGAGAGCAACTTGGATTTGAGGAGTAAATTCAGATGCAACGTACTCACTGCCATCGTGTTCATGCCAACTCATAGTAAGCCTATATAGGAGAGGGTCGAACTGCCCTTTGTGAGTGGCACTGTAAATGCTTACGGGAGTAGCAATGTACATATGGGCACGTTTTGAGAGAGTATGTATTAAGAGGAAATGTGGGTGGACCACCCAACTCCAGTGAACACTATTGTAAGAGGAAGCGTGGCAGTAAAGAAAGGACTGGTTAAGGGAGCTGAAAGAACTAAGAAACAGCATAACTGGGGAAGAAAAAAGTTTTAGGACATAGTGCACGGTCAATAGTGCTGACTACTCAACAGGGGTATGGGACAAGAGAGTATAAAGAATCATCTGATTCGTTGATCAGTAGTTTATTGATTCCACTTTAAGAAAGCAATATCAATAAACGTCATCCACCTGATCGTACAGGATCACAAGACAGAAAGGAAGTGGTGCAGCAAAAGCAGGCTGTTGGTTCATTTTGTAAGAGAATAGACGTGATAAGGAGTTAAAAGAAATTTGGATGCTTAAGGGAAGGGTTAATGTGTATATATACTTATATATTTTAAATGTACACAATGAATATTAAGTTAAAGATCCACTGAGAAAAGGTGAGTAAGTAATTGACTGAAAGGTAGAGAAGCGATAGTAAAGGATAGAATCAGTAGAATTTGTGTAGTAGTTGACCTACAGGGGTTTGGATGCTCAAATTGTATAGTACAAATAAATTAGAGGGCCACCTACACTATAAACTCAAATTAACTCAATTTTAATTTTTTAGTTGTTCATTGTCTTGATTCTAAAAGGTGATGTTATGAGATCTATCAAGACAAAAACTATTACTTCAAAATCTTAGACTCCTTTATGCAACAAAAATGTCCAAATGTGAAGCTCTTATTTTTCTACCTAACATCACTCTAGGTCTTGGCCCTTCTGCAGAGGTATTCCCATCTGTTGACTCCCTCCCTAAGTAATTCTGGCTCTTTGATTTACACCTTGTCAAAACTGCAGCTGAGCTACTCAAGAGACTCAAATAGCATGGCTTTTTAATACTCCTTGACTGTTGGGAACATAAAAAGTCTGAAGGGGTAAGATCAGGATAGGAGGGAATGGGGCAAAGTTTTTTCCAGTGAAATTCTCATACAAAGCCCTTGCTACCATTGAAGAAGGCGCAGGTGCATTGTTCTGATGGGGAAAAAAAATCTTGGTATAAATTTCCCGTCCTTTTTCTCACCAAAGTAGTTTTCAGTAGTCTTAAAAGTTCATTATAATACCATAAGTCCTTGTGATCATCCTGTGTTCTTTGTGGAAAATCTATCAGGATTACTCCCCACCCCACCCCCTCCGACCCCCCAGGAATCATAAAAACAATTGCTCTAACCTCTGAGCTGATTTCTCCTTCTTGAGTTTATCGGGCACTGCAGACCCCTCTGATGTCACTATTATGATTGGATTTATTTCGAAGGCACCCGAATGAAACTAAGGAAAGTATCTTATTGAAAGAACTTGTCTGCACCCATCCACTGTTGGCAGAGACATGGTTCAATTATTTTGTTTGAAATAATCCCAGGCAGGGGTAGATTTGAGCCCTAGTAGCCACACTTTTGACCTTTCTCTGCCACTGCTGTATACAGTAGCCTATGCTAACATTACTGGGTAAAGAAAATCAGGCTTAAGAAAGTTAGAAAATATAAGATCGGGTCAGGAATAATGTTAGTATGCAAAACAAATGTCTTTTTTTTTGAGCCCAGAGACTGGGGCTATTACTGGAAGTTAGCCATAATTTATGAATTGTTGCATAAGCACCTTGTGACCAATAACACCTGGACTTCCCCCTTCCTGTAAACATCTAGAACAGGGATCAATCCACTGGGCATTTTGCAAATGTCTTTCCTGTATGGAGTAATGATGCCAATTACTGTAATGTTTCCATATTTGGTTTTTAAGCTGAAAAAAGGTAAGAAAAATATAAAATGACTGGAGAAAAGATGAGGCATACTCACAATTTCATTGTAAGTAGGGTCGGTGCATTTTGGAACAGATTTTGTTTTCCTCTTACGGACTCCCCTGGGATATGGTAAAAGATAAAATTCAACATGTGCACTGGGCGCAGAGCCATCTGGGAGATGCTGCAGAGGAAAGTGGTTATAAATATTAATACACGTTGCTATCAAAGAAAACAAATACAAAGCTACTAAATATCTATACCAAAGACAGAATTGGGTTTTATTATTGTCACTCTCTATTGGAAAATAACATCAAAAAACATTTCATTGCTCAAAAGTAATCCCAAATCACAGTTTAAAAGAGTAAAATTTCCCTGCTAAATTAAATGTGGTGTCAGAGAATTATACTTAAAAGCTCATTAAATGTCATTTACTCTAATTTTTTTTAATAATAAAAGCTAAACTTGTACTTTTTGACAGAAATGGTTAAAAACTGAATGTTAATCCATGGTAGAGAGTGTTTTCCTCTTAATGCCTCATGGTTCATGAGCCAGTAGGGGGAGGAGGCCAGGGGAGGGGAGTCAAGTTTAAAATATAAAATGAGATTTAGCATTTAATGATATGTATGCATGGTTGTTGGTGTCCTGGGGATTCAGAGGGTTAAGCAGGAGGCTGCTAACCCAAAATGCAGTGGTTTGAGCCAGTAAGTCACTCCGGGGAAGAAAGAAGAGATGGTCTTCATAAAGGGTTACAGCTCCAGAAACCCTATACAACAGTTCTACTTTGCCCTATAGGATTGCTATGAGTTGAAACTGACTGGCAGTGGGCTTAGTTTGATTTTTTTATATGATTGCATAATATCCCACTTAAAGTTGGATTTATTTAAAATACCAATTGGACCTACAACTTTAATATAGTTACTAGGTTTTCATATAATTTCACTAATTCCTTAGATAAATCCTCTAAAACACATGGCATAGCCTTGTAAAATTATTTTCTGTGAGACCTCAGAAGCTATCAAAGGGGTTACCTCAACGACAGAATCGAATACATCAGTCTCTGGCGTTCCCCAATAACTCTTCTCCTGCCTTTTCCAGTCCCCTCAGAGGTGCACCCTTCTTCGTAGAGGCCATCATCCCTTTAAATCTACTATGGGTATGTGTATTTCTAAATATATCATTTGAAGAATGAGGTCAACTACTTCAAAGAGTTTAAAATACAAACTGATTTGAAATATAGCAAATAGGATTTTATCTTAGTGATCTTGACCAAATGGAGAGTAAAAAGTCCCCAAAATTTGGATATCTAGGTTAATTTAATATGAAATGCTTTTATGCTTTATTTAAAGTGGCAACTGTGTTAGTCAGGGTAGACCAGAGAAACAAGTTCATGAACACTCATATGTTTTTAAGAAAGAGCTTTATATACAAGAGCAGTTGAATATTGAGTAAATATCCCAGCCCAGTCCAGATCAAGTCCATGAGTCAGATATTAGTCCATATGTCTGATACCAAACAATAAAGTCCTCCGCAGAGTCATGAAACACCATGTGATGATGCTGAATGCAACATCAGTGGTCAGTGGGTTGGAAGTCTTGTGGATCTAGTAGTGTTGTAAGCATCTCAGCACTAATAGGGTCTCCATGTTGCTGCTCTGGCTCCAGAGGTCTGGTTCCATCAGCCTTTCTTCATGTGTCTTCTCCACAGGGATATCTCACAGGAAGTGAGCTGCGAGAGAGAGTGTCTTCTGCCTCCAAGGAGGAAATACAGGGACTCCCAGAATCCTCAGAAGGCCATGCCCACATAGAGGCTTCATTGGCTATGTCCTGATTGACAGACTAGACTCCACCCTTACACTCTTAATCCTCAAATTGACACCAGATTATGTAACTACCACAACTTAAAGTCAAACTTGAGTAATGAAGTGCTTATTTTTAACCATATTGTATTACTTAGATCCATAATTTTATGCAAATATATTTTAAATTTTGAAACAGTGATATTTACATGTGGCCTTCCAATGCTGCTGTCATTCACAGCTTGAATGCATCTTTATTTTGCACTCTTAAAAACGTTTTGGAAAGCAAGAAAATAAGAGATACATTTTCAACCAACTTTTCCCTGTTCTAATTTACACAGTAAAAATTATGTGACTAGAAAATGATAGCTGTTTATTTTCAATTAAAAATTGATGAAGTGTACCTACACAGACCTATATGTCAAAACATTGAGATTGGGAACTGCTGTTTTCATTGGACTTCAAGATATGTGTCCCCATCCAGAAGTCCTCCTTATGGAGAGGTGCTTTGACATGACAGAGTAGAATCTTCTGTGATACAGAAGGATGTGATTAATATTTCTTAGAGTGGAAATCCCACTGGAACAAAGGAAAGATTAAAAGTGTGTTTGCATTACCTAATTCTTTTCTTGTCTGTACTGGGGCTTAAGAATACCAGACTTATAGTCACTGTGTGCTCAACTTTAACGCTTCTGGGAATAGATTGTCTCGTTGCAATTCTAGTTCTCTACTTTTGTCAGCTATGTGGCTTTTCACAGAAATCTTAATTTTTCAGGGGATAGGTTTGCTTATCTGTTAAATGAAGGTAAGACAATAATCATATCATAGGATTTTCAAGGTTGAACCATATACTGTAAGGACACAGCTGAAAAAGAATGATTCAATGAATACTGGATACTATTATTTTACTTCTTATACATTGAGAATGAATAAATTTAATGCACAGTTTAGACAAGACGTAATAAGACATTTCTGCAGAGTAAGATTTTCAATCTTAGGGCTGCTGATATATTGGAATGGGCATTTTTGTTGTTGTTATTGTTGTTGCA